AAAGAAAAAGCAGTCAACTCTTAAACAACTTTTAGGTTTGCCTTGTAAGTAAAATGGTGGAGCTAATCTGCCGAACATGAAAAATCCTCTTTCTCTTCTGTTTCCGGTCCCAATGAGCAGAGACACCATCCATGCACAAACTTCAGACTCATCTGAGAAAACCATCCTATCCAACGTCACCAAATGTACTATTTCTTTCTCTGCACCGCCTTTCAAGAATGTCCCCATTTTCTTACCAACACACACTTGGACACCAAGACTATGAATGTGGTTTTACTATTCTCTACACATAAACTCTAATCCAGGACCAATACTTTACATTGTTCTCTGGCTCAATATCACCCAACCATTTTTTTAAGAGAATAATTTGGCAGTGTCTACTGAAGTGTAAATGGACACATCCTGTTGATTTGGATCAGTGTGTCCACAGTGTAGGAGTGCTGAGATGGAGGAGCATGTAAGACTTAGGGCGGATGGGGTCACACCACTGCCAATGCAAAAGGGACTAATGCTGCCTCTCAGAGTGGACTCTTAAAAGAGCACGTTGTAATACAGTAAGTCCACCCCATGAACTTGGCCTCTTCTGTAAAGCCATTTCCTTCTCTACCCTTTGTGTTACAGCCAAGTGGGCCCTCAGCTGTGGCCAAACAGACAGAGATGTCTGATCTTGGGACTTTCTGTAGCGGCATTTTCCCGCAAGTTGGGAGGAGCTAAGATGGGAGGAGTAAGGAGAGGAAGAGGAGAAGGAAGAGGAGGAGCTAGGGAAGCAGAGATGTAGGAGCCATGGATGACCGAGGATATAACAAGAGCAGTCCTGGGTAACAACTTGTATCTAGGCTAGTTAATCGGTTAACACTTCCAATTATGTGGGCATCTTGTTATTTGAGCATTACCAAATATATAAAGCTATTGGAATAATCTTTAAACATTAGAATCTCATTTCTACTGGGCCCACGCGGATGGCGGGATGGTCTGGGCTCAGCTCAGCCTTGTGGAGATAGCGTGCAAGATTGAAAGAGCCATCTCCCACGCTAGTGTCTCGTGGGTGGCAGGGCCGGTGTCTCTGGCCGCCTGAGGTGGCGGCCTGAGCTAGGTGGCAGCGTATTCTCAGGCCTAGGCTAGTCAGGAAGATGGCAGGTCTGTAACACAAGACAGATCAGGTCCCGCCTATTTAAATATCTCCTGCAACAACTTTCAGTCTCAGAAACCTTACTAAACACAAGTCTGTTCCTTAGAAAAGAACCAGCTTCAGCTATTTGTTACAGTAACGTAAGACAGACCAACACACTCTTTGCCTATTTCTCTTATGATCCTAGGTTACATAAATAACCAACAGAAAAAAGAAAACGGAAGGTAGATCCAGTCATTAATAAAGGAGGTCACATAAACCATCCTATGATATTTTAAAATTCTATACCACTCTAATGTTTACAGAACTGAATGACAGTGTGTATACCCCATTTACACAGGATAGGGGCTAAAGGCATAAGACAACGTATGGAATGATAAGCAGACTCTCAACAGTGGTTTCCTCAGAATAGTGAAAGGGGGGTGGGCTGAGGAGCGCTCAGATTTTACTCTATATAGTCCTAATTGAGTGATTTTAAAGCATCAGCTACATTTATGTAACAATGAGACTATACAACCATCTTGTATGTCTTCACACGATTCAGGAACCTGGCACTTGTACTCTTCCTAGCTTAATTTCACAGACTTATTTACATCGGGTAGGCGATAATGTACTTTTGTATGATGGGAACCGTGGGCTGACTGCTGAAACTGGGTCATGCACTAGGCCTAGCAGCTTTATAAGTGAATTGGAAAGGCTGCCTCTCGTTCTCGGAACATAAAGCTCATTCTGGAGAGGCAGGCTTATCTGCTCCTGCACTTAAAGGTGCAAGGGAAATGCTTCATCCCTTTAGCTCTCCAAAGGAAGATTTCATTATCTTCCCCTTTCTCAACCCACTTTTGGCTTGTCAGGTTTTAAGAGTGTCTGCATTAATCCTGTTCAGTTTATTTTCTTTTATGGCAGGGAAAAAAAAAAACCAACCCACAAATAGACAGCGAGTTTACCACAGTTCCGGTTTCTTTCTAAAAAGTCTTCATTTCCTGGGAGGGAATTTTAAGCTATTAAAAACGTGACAGCCACCCAGCTGTTAAAGGCAACATAGCTTTGATGAAGACAGAGCACAAAAGTGATACAAAGTGAGCTATGCCGATTTCAAGAATCTGAAGGCTTTCTCTTTATTCCCAGTGAGGGGGACGCAGCCCAAGGCCGCGTGCCCTGGAGCTCTTCTGAGCACTAAGCACCACCAGGCCTCATACTACTTTTGATAGTTGAGAATAAGACACTGTCATTTTATACTTCCCTTTTTAAAACTTGGGAATAGAAAGAAAAAAAAAAAACAGCACCACATCTCCATCTTTTTTACTGTGGTCCTGGCATGGGGCCAACTGCACCAAGTGACCTTGACCTTGCTGTTCTCATCATCTGCTGGTACCCCAACCTCTTATAATACCAACAAGTATAAGATACTCAATTACTCCTCCCTTAGTCATGCAGATGACTAAAGTACCACAGCAAGATGGGGAACAGAAGCTCAGTTAGCTGCCATTCTTCCTGTGACCCATGGCACTGTCAATTCCAAATCTGCCTCTACTTTGGTCTCTCAACTAAAATGCCCCATGCCTGGTTTTGACTTCCTTAAACATGTCACAAAGCATTTTTTTTTTTGTTGGTGTTGCTTGGCTTTGTTTTTAAAATGTGACCACTTGCCTCCATAAAATATTAGCTAAAATAAACCTGGGTACCTTAGTACAATTATTTCATAATTGACTGTTGAGAAAATGGCCAGGAAATATTACACTAGATATGGGCATCAGAGGTAATGGTGTCTGGTCAGCTAGTATGGGATTAGTACCTGTTCCCCCAACTTCCTCCAGGATGTGCTGAACGGATTTTTAAAGGTTATTTAAATGTAATATTTCTTAAGGTGTTTTGTGGAAAGGTGAGGGAAGAGGCTTCAAAATAAACAAAAAGCACTGACTTCAAGGGCAGATGAAATGAAGCAGCACAGACATGGCTGGGTAGCCCAGGGCTACAGTAGCTTGCCACCTGAGTTTTGGAGAAACGGTGTAAGTGAAAGTGATTCATATCCAGGGATATCATATACAGGATATATTCTAGTGAGAAAACCAATAACTGCCTGATGCTGGCTCCTAGAGACAGGGAGACGGCGCCGTGGTTAGGGAGCCATCTTGACAGGCCCTGCCTTTGGATGCTGTAGAAGCTACAACTATTTGGAAAGACAACTATTTGAAAGGAACAGGAATATCTTACAACACGAAAACTTTCCAAGGCTTTTGGGGAAAAAAGGAATGACATGGAAAAGAAAAAAGGGGAGCTGAAATTTTAGTCAAATTTCATGGCAGAACCCTTAGGAATGGCTGGGAGATTCTTAGAAAAAAAAAGACACAAACTATTTTTTTTTCTCTTAACAAAAGCCGTTTTCTGATGTGTCCCCATTTCCCCACAGAATGTTATTAATGGTGCTAGGGAGAAATGCATTCAGGTGGTGTAGACCCTTGCTTCTCTCCCTACAAAGGAGCAGTAGTTTCCCAAAAATGCTACTAGAAGTTGTCTTCTAGGCTGCAGTCCATCAAAATCTTAAGGGCAGTGGAAGAGTTGGGCTATTTGGACAACTAAAACAAGGATAATGATAAGAGAGCCAACCAAATTAGAGAGAGTTTCCTGCCTGTCCCTCCCTGTATGCTGTGGGCGGTAGTGATTCCTAATACCCTGGGGTTCCCTGTACACTGTCACTGCATGTATTTACCACCTTTGGGACTAGATCTGCCCCCAATAGAGCTTCCAAGGCTAACAATTGGCACTACTTCCATTTTTGGTTTTTCTGTCATTAATTGCTCCTATAACAAGTTCTGAGCAGCTTGAGATAAACATACCTGTCTGATAAAGTAAGAGCAAGCTCTCCCGAGGTTTGTGACAGGGTACTAAAATATAGAGGCAATAGTCAAGAATTTACATAGTAAATTATACTGTCCTGTTATTTTGATTAACCTGGGATTCAAATATAAAACAAAGGAATACACATAATAATCCTAGCATTAACATAGAATTTGCTTTTGTCATTCCACTATTTCTTCATGTAACCTATTATGTGTATTTTACAATATGGGGATCTCTTTTCTATTGTATAAAACACTGAGATTACTACAAATCCCACTCTTGACTCACACACACCATCCCTGCTTCATGTTTGTTCCAGATAGTCAGTCAAATAGAATGGCCAAGAGTTTCTTGCAAACAGCACCCTATATGCCCTCTATAGGGAAAATGTGAGTCCTTTTACCTGTAACACACTAGGGAAACCCTTTCTTCCCAATGCCTTCTTATGAATGCATTTTCCTTGGAAATATTTAGTTCTTGATTAATGTACATTTAATGAGTGCAACCACCTATCTAGTCTATTTCAAACACTGCTTTAATGTGTGCCTTTATTAATACATTTTTCCACTACTGAAACGCATACTCATACACACTCTCATATAAAATGTAACAAGGAACATATAGTTTAAAAATTAATGTTTAAAAAACATATCATCTTTCTATAACCATGAAAGTTTAAAAGAGAAAATTTTAAAGTTGAACAGTCCATGTATTTAAGATAAATACATAAAAACATTTTTTAAGGCAATTCATTGCCAAAAAAGGTTTAAATCGCATCGAATTGCACCTATGCTATTAGATGTCGACCAGTGAGAAGCCTCTAACATCTTTAAACAGCAAGAGTGCACGTTCTAGTTAGGCTCCAAAAGGTTAGAGCTAGAAATTAGCCAGTTTTAACCTGTAGTAAGTAGACTGTTAATATTCAGTCATCCAGTAAACAGGTAAATATATCATCACCTAACACAAGGCTCAGATTCTCAAAAATGTTCTTAGCTTCACACATACACTACAAAATGATAACTAAAAGTCACAATGCAAGGGAAAATACTGTAAAAGTTTAATTGTCGTAGACCTGATATAAAAGTCCTTTATTTTTAAAGTTCCGCCTTCAGGAATAACACCATGCTAATGACTGTGTTCCTTGAAGTTACAATGCTCAACAACACAGTAGAGGCACTGATGTACATGTCTGATGAGGCTCGAGGGAGAGACAAACAAAGGCTTTGTGACCTTTAGAAGACAGTAAGGAGAGCGGAAGAATCAGTATTTCTATACTGCTCAGTACTGGAATGGCTCCTTAATTCAGAGCACTGGCACAGGTCTATAGAGCAAGTGGTAGCAGTGGGGCCATTCTCAGCTTTACATCAGAGATGTCCAAATGGCACTGAGGCAGCTCTAAGGCACAGTTCCCAGTGCTCTCCGTTCTTCAATCCTGGATGCAGACTCCTTATCCTTCGTGCACATGCTCCTTGAATTTCTCCATGAGGGTCGATCTAACCTGCTTTGTTACCTGTCACCTAAAGTATAACCCAAAAGGTCTACGAAAACGAAACAACCTGCCAGCCTTATCGGGTCTACAGACATGGATTCTAGTTTACACACGAACCTAACATTCAGGCACCCCTCTCTCCTGTACTTTCACTTCTTTTACAGGTTGGCCCCACACTCAATTTTGAGGAAGATGAAATGAAGTGCTTGGGTGTTCACCCAAGAAGTGATCTGCTTCTTGGTAAGCCGCTTTGGTTGACAGAAATATAAGGAAATGTCTCAAATGCCTGACCACAGTGCAGTTACAATACTAGTATGTCTCAAATGCCTGACCACAGTGCAGATACAATACTAGGGTGAATTCATCCCTAGTAGGGTTCTGAGGGTAGACAGGAACACTTTAGTCAGAGTGAGAAAAATATGTCTTAAAAGGGAAAGGAAAAAATTAGATAAGGAAAGAGAAAAATATTAATACGTTAGTAATAAGAGGGAACTGAATAGTTATAACCTACCTACCTTTCTGGGAAGTTTCTTACATTTAAAAACAAAATCAGATTTTTCTCTCCTATGCTTCTGTACTAGATTAAGAGGTGCTTTACATAAACAGGCAGGAAGCCCCTTAAGCACTTGATGGAAGTTTCTCTCTGAAATGAGCTAGCAGCAGGAAAAAGCAGGGAAACCTCACTCAAAGAGATCCTCAAACATACGCTGACCCATGGCTATGTATGCTTCCTTCTCTTCTGGTGTCATCTGAGCTACCAGCTCCGGCCGTTGGCTAACTTCACTGTAGGAGAATGGACAGCCAGCCACCATAACAATGGGGTCATCTGCTACTTCCTCAAACTCATCATCTTCCTCATCTTCATCTCGATGATGAGGAGCCGCAGCAGCTGGCCGGGGTGGAGAGTCATCATCTGACTCACTGGTCTCACTCTCAGAGTCACTGCCATTAGCAGCAGTCACCGGAGCGGCTGCTCCCACCGAGCCAGCTGTTGCCGAAGAAGTCTTCTTCTCATGAATGAGTAGAGCTCGCATGACCTCCTCGTTGTCATCAGGCCCCGCCCGGGTTTCCTCACGATCCTGAAATGTGTCCACATCGATGCCACCTGGAAGTTATAAGCCAGAAAGTCAAGATCCTTAAATACAAAGACCATTAATTTGTAAATAATACAAAAAAGACTTTAATGCCTTACGTTTAAATCGACAAATACAACAATGCAGAGCTCGCTGCTTCCATTTTCTGCTCTTCTACAAAATACCTAAAATGTTTTTTAGACACTGAGGCTTAAGTAGTACAGTGACTAAGTACATAGAATTTACAGGTTCACAGAAGCTAACATGAATGTGAATTGTGAGTTCTCCCCTCTCCCATGCAAGCTGTACTATTTTGAGCAAAATTTTCAATTTCTAAACATTAGGAAGGTGAGAGAAAGTGTGCTCGCTAAGATTCCAGGCAAACCCTGTGAGATGGAGCTGAGTAGGGCCAGGCACAGCAGCCAGTATAACATGGAATGAAAACGCGGCTTTCACCTAGCTCAGAGTGAAAGCCAGAGGCCTAACAATGCCTAAAGGTGCTCCCTCATCCTGAACTCCTCCTGGCCACCAACCTCTTATCTATTCTCCCCGCTTATTCACTCTGTGCCAGCTACAGTTGCTACTCCTGAACACATTCCAACACACATACTCCCTCAGGGTATTTGGACTGCCTGTTTGCCCTGATGGAATTTTTTTTTTTCTAGGTCTCTATGCAACTAACTTCCCTACATTCTTTATGTCTTTACTCAGATGTCACTTTATCAAGGTTGTGTCTGCCCACAGCACTCATTTTCCAACATAATGACTTAGGCTTACTGCCTTTGTTGTCCCTTTCTAAGGATGTAGAATCTGCCACAACAAATTTTACCTCTGATTCACTGTGACCCGAGCATTAGGGCAATACCTGCCATGTGTCAGGCAGTGAGTCAGAATTTGCTGAATGAGCAAATAAATGGCAGTGTCATTTTCCTGAAGCAAATTATACAAACTCTGAACTCCCTATAAAAAGGTCATTAATTTAAGAAATAAATTTTATCATACCACATACAACCACTTTATACACACATCTTGGCTGATACACTACAGTGACACATTTAAGAAAACTGTTGTTGGTATTTTGCATTCAGTTAGACTCAAACAGACTGCCCTTTTAAATATATAAAAGGACTAAGAGAGTCCTCCTTGATTCAAATACTAACATATATTGGCTATGTGGTTTGGGTAATGTTACACTAATTTTCTCTTCTCTAATTTCTCCAAGTGTAACAGTGGAAAAAAAATAATAGTATTTGCTTCACTGAATTACTGTGGAGCCCAAAGGAATGAATGTGAAGTACTCAGAATGGGTCTGATATATAGGAAAATTACCAACCATCATCAAGAGAAGGCTCAGAAAATGGTCAATTCTGTCCATGAGTAATGTGAAATCACCTTGTTACTATACCGAACACTCAGCTGGAAGTTAGCTATTTTGAAAAGAATAGAATTCCTAAGTAAGATACTGGGTAAAGAGAGAAAAAAAAGCTAGAGAAAAGAGACTTAGTATAGCATGGAATCAGAATCAAAGTTAAACACTGCTGAAGGCAAAAAGGCAGGAAAGGCTCGGGCCTCTGGGCAAGCTGTTTCTAAAGAGTGCTTGTTATAAATACTTTGATTTTACTGACATGTTAATGTTCAAAGTACAAAATAAAAAGAAATGCAAATACATTTTGTAAAATAAAAGTAAATGTACACATATGGAATAGATTCTGAAGACCACAGTCTGGGGGGCAGGGGGAGGGATTGTTTTGTTAACCTATTAAAACTGAAGACAAAAACAAAGATGAATATGCATGTTTCTGGGTGAGAAAGTAGGGGTAATACTTCCAGAAAGTCCTATGTAACAGCTTAAAGTTAGAAAGAAGGTACATACTGCCTGTCAAGGTCACTGATGCTGCTAGGCAATTTGGGGGCTTTATAGCCAAGATGGAGAAAAAAAAAAACTGAAAAGCTAAAGTTTGCCTAAGTCACCAAAAAGATAAATATCTACATAGTTAAAGTGAATACCTACATATAGAAAAATAATGTAAACTATGTTGAATGACACAGTCCAAGCTATTAAATACAGGGCTGGACAAACTCCATCCTAAATGTCCCCTGTCCCTGTTTCTCGCATTAGTCTTAGCATGCTTCCAGAACCAAAGTAACAAACAAAATGTCAGGTAGAAACCAAACGGTACTGAAAATGAGACTTCAATCTTTAGTCATCTGTGCATAAGCTACAGGTACCATTCTGGTGACTGGGTCTTGGGAAAGCTTAGTAGAACTAGAGATGGACTGGGGAAAAAACAAAATAATTCTGACAGCGAATGACTTTGGGAAAGAGGCCACCGTGAAGGAAAGTAGGGACACAAGGAATCAGTCAGAGCTTCGATGTAACGACGACATGACTCGCCTGTAAAAATTCATGTAGGCACAGAAATAATTCATGTTTGAGGGAAATCTGGATCAGGACAAACAAGATGCTCTTACTAATTCAGTGAGTAACCTGTGTTCAACATCATGACAAACAAGGACACATCTAAAAACTACCCATCTTACACAAAAAACTAGCTTATTTAAGCCCCATGACTCATATTCTACTATCTTATGAATTATAAATATTCAAAGTTAAACTTACTAGCTTAATTGTATATTATATTGGTTAATAATAATTTTATCAGAGTTAATTTGTTTCTAAGTTCATCAAAAAAAAAAAATTCTGATTGCTTCAAGAACAGGGAAAAAGCCAAGCTGAGGAAAATAAACCTATTGAATACTACAGACTGACTACTACATAACCCAGAACAACTTCAACCAAAATAACTGAACATCCCAGGTTAATTAATCAGTGAGGAAAAAGGATAGAAAACATGGTTGTCATGGAAATATTTTCTGACTGGAACTGGACTCTCAAAGGAATCAATAACAAGAGAGATACTACCTGCAGCCACAATACCTCCCGCTCTCTCTTCCCCACAGCTGGTATATCCAGTATACTGATGCAAGTCTTAGGAACGAAGGTAGGGGAAGGCTAAGATAGGACTGGCTTTCTGTAAAAAACAATGATGCTCCTGCATCAAAGAGCCCATTCATGTGACAGCTAATAACAAAACCTAGCGGGGCAGACAGATAGTCCACTCCTGTCACCTCTACTTTCCAGTCCATCCGCAGTCTGTCTGTCTCAGCTGCTCTTTTCTCTATCATTCCCCAAGGCTGAATCCAGTACCTGAGCTAGAACTTACAAAGTAAAACCCTGTACTCCTTAAACTTGTGAAAGTTATTAAGCAACTGCTAACCCTTTTGGGTTCAGAGACTTACAAGATTGTCCCAGATAAAGTTCTATCAATTTTCTTGGACACAGGGACACTCAATCCTTTACCATGTGGTATCTTCCTATATACCTCAGATAGCAAAAGGTTCCTTGTTATGAGAAAATAATACTTTAACAATAATTTAAAATATGGCAGTATTTCAAATCTAAAACCAGACATTTGGGACTGGAAAGATGGAGCAATGCTAAAGAGCACCCACTGCTCTTCCAGAGGACCATAGTTCCCTTCCCAGCATCCTCTCGGCAGCTCTAAAATATCTGTGACTCTAGTTCCAGAGAATCGGATACCATCTTCTTACTTCCTTGGGCACTAGGGGTCATGTAGTGCATACACATATATACAGGCAAACACTAATACATATAAAAACAAATCTTTTAAAAACATATTTGCTCTCTTGACTAAGCTGAAAGACAACAGAACACAGTTGGTGTTAATGCTTAGTGCTATTTCCTACAATGAATTTTCAATAAACCAAGAATTACCCAGGCATTCTCCTTCTAATCTGAGGTAATTTAGCCAGCTCCATGTCACAGCCACCTTCCTACGTCTCACTCTTACCTTCCTTCATCTCTTCAGAACTGTATGCCCCTTGAACAGTGCTCTCTCTCAACCAAATGGGCCTCTCTTTGGCAGATTTCCCTTCCAGCGAGGTGCGATGCATATCATCTTGGTCATCCATGTTAATGACAACATTCTGCGTATACAAGTCTTCATAGGAGGGCCCTTTGTTGGTCCATGCCTCCCGGTGGTGCCCACCTGCCAGGCCAGCAGCTCCAGCAGCACTTGCTGCTCGGTCTTTGCTGCAGTAAAGAGGAGAAGAACAAGGAGAAAAGTTAAGGTCTAGGTGTGCAACATGAAGGACCGCTGGAGAGAGGCCTGATGTATTAGAAGTTTGAACAACAGTTATCTAGCAATTAGGCAGACACGCTTCTACAACTCTCAAGAACTTCTTCTATAACGCAGGGTAAAAGCTGTATGGATTACATCATAGTTAAGTTCTGCAAATACTAGACCCTCTTGCATATACGAATAACTAGTATCTTAGAGACTGATATGTGTCCATTAACTTGCATGGGGGAGGGGAAGGACACAGTGACAGTGTACTTAAAAATACCAGTCTGGTAAAACCACTCCCAGTTATATCTCCCATGAGAATTTTGTTTAAAACAAAATAAAGAGTACTGTATCATAAAAATATTTTTTTAGTGTAACTTTAAACTAGGGTGGTTTTGTGTGTGACCATGGAAGAAGTTAGGAAATTATTCTACTGACCAGACCTCAACGTAGAATTAATATTCTCTTCCTGCCACTCACTGAACAGGGCACATCCCTCTTCACAGCCCAGTCTCTTCTACCTAGCTAAATCTTATTTCTACAACTGGAGTGACTATCTGTCCCCAGCCACCTTTCCCTACAACAGGGATGCTGATGCTTCCTGGTCTGGTTTGCTTTGCCTCTATGGCCTTCCTTGCCTGTCAGTATACTTCAGGCCCAATCAATCCTTATCTTTCCCCAGTCACTAGGCTTTCCCATTTCTATGAGCTAAGTGAAGTATCGTTCTCGCTGCTGCTTCCTACTTTCCCTGCTTTAACATTTTCAATCTTGATCTATATCAATTTGTCTTTAATGTGCCTGTAGAAGTCCCAAGCACCCTGGGAGCGATGTTCCTGAACTGCCTGCTCACCCCATGCTTGCAGTTGTTTCCAGCATCCACAGGGCTCAGCAGCTCATGATTTCTTATCATCCCTGACTTCTCTCACACGTCTAAATTGTCTCCCTGCATCCTGATATCTGTTCGTTTGTCCAGAAACCATGTCATCCTACATCTAACCGACACTTCGTAAGCCACTAGGAACCCCTGTCCCTGTTTTTATGCTTGCTGTCTTTTCTTTCTTTCTCTCCCCCCACCCTCTCTCTCTCTTTCTCTCTTTCTTGAGACCATCTCACAGCTCCTTGGGCTTTTCAACCCATGCTGAGCTGAAGCTCCCCTGCTGTGCCTGTGGCCAACTGGCTGGCTGGCTACCCTTCTCTTAGAACACCATTCTGACCATCCTCTAGAGGTAGTCTTGGGCTTATCTCATCCCTCCCACCCTGCTCTGGTTATGATACTTTTGAAACCAAGCAACAAGCTCTTTCCAGCTACTAAATGCATGTTCTGCCTCTGCACTCTTTTCATTATCCTCCTGTACCTAAGGCCATTCCATACCGTTCTTGCCCACAGCCTTTCCCTGGCACCAGTCCCACCTGGTCTTAGTCATTTCTTCTGCCTCCTCCCTACTTATCTCCTTGTTCCTGCTCTGGATATGTCCAAATATATCCACACCATCTTTATGGCTTGCTTTTTTTGATCTCGCATGCTACAATTGCAAGCACTTGATTTCTCTCTACTTTTTTGCTCCTTTCCACATTCATACAATATTACTTTTTGCATTGATCACCACTTGTCTCAATTCAGCCATATCTGTCCCTAGACATTCTACCTTTCTACCTGCACTACATGCCTACAGTGTAGCTTGGCTTTGTCAACGTTTTTCTCCCTTGGCATTCATGTTCCTATCGCTTTCCTGTCTGGATCGATCTTTGGTTTTGTGCTTCTATCACGTGTTGAGTTCTCCCTGCTCATCTATCTCGTCGTCTTCCCCACCCCCACCCCCACCCCCACCCCCATCAATGCTTTGTCTGTCTCAGCCAACACCCTCATCTTGCTGTACTCGGCCTGCCTTTCTCATATCAGGCAGATGTGGCTTCCTGAGTTAGCTACCTCCAGTGAGGAGAGAAGAAAGGTGCAGAGCTCTAGTGTGGACCTCCATTTACTTTATTATGATGATGATGTCTTTACAACAAGACTCTCTGAGATGGTTTCTCTTTACACATGATCCTGAACACATCGACTCATGGGGTTAACTTTGAAGATTATCTCATGAAGTCATAAGAGGTACTTTGAGGAAAGACAAGAAAATAGAAATGACAATCACAACGGATAAAGAAGACCACTCTTGGTTTTTTTTTTGGTTTTTGTTTGTTTGTTTGTTTTTTGTTTGGTTGGGTTTTTTGTTTGTTTGTTTGTTTTGAGACAGGGTTTCTCTGTGTAGTCCTGGCTGTCCTAGAACTCACTCTGTAGACCAGGCTGGCCTCGAACTCAGAAATCCACCTGCCTCTGCCTCCCAAGTGCTGGGATTAAAGGCGTGCGCCACCACTGCCTGGAAAGAAGACCACTCTTAAAATCTTACTTTTGGTATTTTTTAGAGAAATTCAAGGTAGATTTTATTTAGGGCATCAATTATATGACAGGAAATGTTTGTCTCAGCAGTGAGCTAATTTACTGAGTTAAACATAAAGCTGCCTGTGATGTGGATGGTAATGTTTCCCTATTAATCATGACTCCTCTGTTTTTGTTTATCATTTTTATTTAAATATTGATGGCTAGTTGCTCCATAGAACTCTAAGAACTTTCCCTGCCAAAGTAAAACTTAGCTAATCTGAGTACCAATCATGTAACTGCATTCTCATTATCTGATATTGGTTTCATTCTCATTATCTGATATTGGTTTAAAATAAATATACAAAGTCATTCTAGCCAGTAAGACACTGGCAGACAGTTAGGATAAAGTGTGTTTTCTGGAACATTTCTTTAGTCATATTTTAAATAAGACACAAGGAAAGGATGCCATTCTCTCTGCATTTAGATATTTTCATCTGCAGGTAATATTCAAGACCCAGATGGCTACCCTAGGGCAGTTCCCCTCGTAGTCCTAAGAAGCCAACACAACAAGAGAGAACAGAGATAGAAGAAATCTAGACCCTTAAAGATGTAACTGACTGTACTAAGTCAGAATCTCTGGCCATGGAAGACAAATTACCACAAAGACATTCTAACTGACTCATGGTGTTAGGAGGTAAGTAACTGATAAAGTTATAAAATTCTCTGTACAACTGGAAAGAAATGCAATTAGCTCAGGACTTGCTATTCTTAAACAATAAATATCAGAAGAAATTAAAAAAAAAAAAAAAAGAAGTGCCTCTAGAAAAAAAATCATGCTGAGTGAGATAATCCAGACTCAAAAAGACAAATGCGGTATGTATCCACTCACATGCAGATGTTGCCTGTTAGGTCTTTGATAAGCAGGCTACAGTCCGAATAGCCACAGGAATTAGGTATAAAGTAAGGGACTTGGAGGTTGGGGTATGATCTTTCTAGGAAGGGGAAATAGAATATAGTTCTGAATGGACAGGGAGTGGGGATGGACAGAATGGGAAAATCAAATGGGGAGGGCAAAGGAGGAAGAGGTAAGGAGGAAATACAGAGTGGGACAGCTAAAACTAAGGGCCATTTGAGGGACCGCATAGATACCTAATATCATAGAAGCTCCTGCTGCTTCTTTTTCATTTTGTTTTATGGTTTGTTTGCTTGTTTTGAGACAGGGTTTCTTTGAGTATCCTTGCCTGTCCTAGAACTCACTCTAGACTAGGCTGGCTTCAAACCCAAGAGATCAACCTGCCTCTGCCTTCCGAGTACTGGGATTAAAGGCATGCACCATCACCACCACTACCACCTGGCAGCTTCTTGAAACATATACATTTATAAAAGAAATCTATATGGAGTCATCAAATAACAGGGAAAACAGAGCCCCAAGCAGACATCTCTTGCCACCAAATGAGAGCTCCAGTGCTGAGAATGAGTTACATTTAACTGAGTTGTTTGCCAAGTAGATCCCATGGAAACCCCTAACAACCCAGGCTATTCCCAAGGCTATTGGTTGCTTTCCACAAACTGACAGTAAGGCCCTATTGCTGAAGACAACGCCTACACAACACACTGAACACAGAGTAGTCAAGCTGACACTTGCTTACTTAGAATTCTGACTACTACTTACCAGTTTTGATGGTCCTGGAAGGTACTATATACACTACCAGAGGGGAAAGGTAAACACTAACCCAACTACAAACTCTGCAGTCTGCAATGGTGACCTTCCTGCAAGACATCTAGGTCCAACTGTGGCACAAAAGTTGTGAAGGTAATCAGCCACTCTGGTGGTTTGAATAGATATGCCCCAGAGAGTCCTGTGTTTGAATGCTTGGCCCACAGGGAGTGGCATTACTCGGAGGTGCGGCCTTACTGGAAGAGGGTAGACTTGTCACTGTTGGAGCAGGGTTTTGAAGTCTTAAATGCTCAAGCTCCACCTCATGTGAACAAAAGCCAGTCTCCTTTTGCTGCCTTGTGGATCAAGATGTAGAACTCTCACCTCTTCCAGTACCATGCCTGCCTGGACGCTGCAATGCTTCTCACCAAGATGATAATGGACTGAACCTGACACTGTAAGCCAGCCCCAACAAAATCTTTTCGAGTTGCTTGGCTCAGGTGTCTCTTCACAGCAGTTAAACCCAAACTAAGACAACCATTTTCTGATTTAATTGAAGCCTATTCCAGGAGACAGAACCCATGAGTGACACTGCTCAGGTGGCCGAGAATCTGAGACTAGATAGACCATGAACCTAGGGGAAAACTAAATACTACTGTTCTGCTAAAGGAATGCACAAATAAAAGGATGCCTAATGATAGTCTGCTATACTCATAAATCAGTGTTTGCTCAGTCAGCACCTGAAAAGCTTCTCCCTGCAGGAGATGGGATGAACAAATACAGAGACTGACAATTAGACAAAGGGCAGAGAGTGAGAGACCTTGGAACACTCGGTCCTAGATGGGATATGTCCATCAAATCCCTCCCTTCTGTGATCAAGGGATTCTGTGGAAGAGGAGGCAGAAAAATTTTAAGAGCCAGTGTGGATGAAAGACACCAAGGAAACTGTCTTCCAGACACAACTGGACTGATAAAAAATGAACTCACAGAAACTGTGGCAACACCCACAGGGCCTGCACAAGTCAAAGCAGGTAGGGTACCAGTGCTGAGAGAAGTAGATATATCCCTAACCCAGAAACTATTTCCAAATGATAATCACTCACAAAGGAAAATTCGTTTTCTCCAATGGAGTCTCACAGAGTATGGAAAGCACATCTTAGGGCAGGCCCCATGCCCAGCAGTAGATGGCCAAAACCAATTCAATGGTATTTTTGGAGGGTTTTGTTTTGTTTTGTTTTTGTCTGATAACTTTCTCTGTGCACCCCCCCTCCTTTGTTTCATGAATTTTCTGTGTGTGTAAATGGTGTTTCTCAGCATCTGTTTGTGTTTCTTGTATTTTTTCTTTGGCTAGTTTGTTTTGTCCTATTCTGGTTTGTTTTTTATTTTATCTTATTATTTTATTATTATTGTTATTTCGATGACTGTGTTTCCTAATGAGAGAAAGAAAGGGTCTGTATTCTTGTGGAAGGAAGCAGGAAGGATTTAAAACAAGTTGAGGGCAGGGAGCTGGCATCAGAATATATTGTTACAAAGAAACATCTATTTTCCATTAAAAAAAAAATAGAAGCTTCAAAACTGTACACAAATAACCTGGAATAGAGTCAGGAGGAGGCTGATGGGTGTGACCTCACTGTGGGATTGGAAAGAAGGAAGCAGTTCTCATCTGTACTTTCCAAAAACTAATAGAATAAACTGTGTGGGCTGGAGATGGCTCAGAGAGTAAAGGCACTGCTGTTCTTACAGAGGATCTGGGTTCACTTCCTAACACTCACAAGGTGGCTCACAACAATGCATAATTTCAGTTCCAGGGGATCTGACACCTTCTTCTGGCCTCTGTAGGAACCAAACACACATACAGTGCACATACACACTTGCAGGCAAAACACTCACATATATAAACTAAAAGTAAATAAGTCTTTTGAAATATATAATGACTTTTCATGGCATGGCAGAACTAAACCTGCCTAGCAATTCAAACACTAGAGCACACTGGGGGGAAAAAGGAAGGAAGGAAGGAATCACTGTTAACAATAATAACCCACAGGTAACTATATCTTCACAAAGTTGCATTTAACACTGATTAGGACAACAAGTTTGTGTTGAAAATGTTTCACAAGAATAAAATGTTGTATATTCTCACTCATACATGAACCCTAAACCCTAGCTTTGTGAGATGTGTATGTGAGAGTATACATGTGGGTGTAGGTCATAGAACTTGAGAGAGAACCAAACCAGAAAAGGGCCAAGAGGTTTTGAGGAATGCAGTGGTGTGTCTCTGCTGTCGCAATGACATGAAAGTGGAAAGCCAAGGGAATGAGTGCAGACAACAGTACGAGTGGAGGCAGGGCCATGAAGAGGTCAGGGAAGAGGATCAACAAAACCAGGATATGCATACAAAGGCCATAACAAAACTTACCTGCTAATTTAAAAACAAACAAAAATCTATAGGAAAATGCTAAATTCTTGAGAGAGTTTTGGCCTTTAAGAGCTGACTAGAAGCCTAGCAGTGGTGGCACATGCCTTTAATCACAGTACTTAGGAGGCAGAGGTGGGTGGATCTCTGAGTTCAAGGCCAGCCTAATCTACAGAGCAGGTTCCAGGGCAGCCAGGGCTACACAGAGAAACCCTATCTTGAGGGAGTAGGGAGGAAGGTGGGTTGAATAAGAAAATTCAAATATTCCCAAGAGGTACAACTAATTTAGAATTGGCTCTCAACTGGCTGAGTGCTGCAGGCCACAGCAGAGGAGTGGTTGAGGTGAAAATGACTATTTAAAGACTTTTGCCAAAGGCTCACCTTCTACTGTGTTCAGTACAAACAAATGTGAGCAGAGGCACAAGTTAATAAGACAAGCATGGCAGAACTTGGAACCTCTGTGACACTGAGTCTTTAGTCTCCTGGTAAATACTTACTCTAGCCCTCCAAGGTTAAAACCAGTGCAAGTTTTAAAAGGCTCTTGGTAAAGCACGAGGCGTCCACTCACCTCTGCTTCAGGGCTGGGATTTCCGTGGGTTCTGGTTCAAGTATTTCGTAGGCCAAGTTTACATCCTCTGTCTCTCGAAGCAATGCATAAATGGGCTCAATTTGTTCATTAAATCTTGCCAAAAGCGTGCGGGCATCTTTTTTGGGCATTGCTGATTCATCTTCTTCTACCTCTGTATGGCAGAAGGTGCAGCGGAAGGTTCCTACAGAAAAGCCAAGTCTCGGGTCAGAAGAGGGAAATCTTCCAGATAAGCCTGAGCTCCACGCCTCCAATGTTTTAGTAAAACCTCCAGACACAAACAGATCAGAAGAACTGATGTTTGATGTACCCACCACCAAGAGTCTACAGCTTTCTGTCACAGTCACCACAGATCTGTCCGTCTCTATAGATGTCCATCATTTTTATGCTGAAATCTCATCACTAAGTTTTCAAAAATCACATTTCCAACATATTTATATTTAATGTACAGCAAATTATGCCACAGCTTACTGTTAAATTTATATGCCTTCCTAACAGCTTTCTTCATACATTGCATATTTGGATTATTATTATTTTGAAAAAGGCCAGATAAACAACTAAAACTAAAAGCTTTTGGTAGTTCTAGGTATTGTCAAAGTGCTATTTCTTCTACTTTTCTTCTTTTTTTAGAGTTTATTTTTTAGCTGTTTGTTTGTGTGTATACACATACAGCCAGAAGACGGAAATGGGTCCCCAACCCTAAGTTACAGGAGGTTGTGCACTGCCTAATACAGGAGCTGGAAACAACATTCTGACTCATGAGTGCTCTTAACTAGTGAGCCACCTCTCTCTGAGGACTATTATTTCATGTTTACAAACCACTGATAATTAAAGAAATGTGTTCAGTCAATGTCAAAGTTAAAGGAACGTATTTTTTTGTTTCCATACACCTTACATTCAACACAGAACTTCAGTGATTTCAAAGAAATGTCCCCAAGTTTTCATCACTACTGTTACTTTACTAACCATGGCCTCTACTGTAGCCTTCATAAGCATGCTCCTTGATCTTTACGTTCTCCCTCCCCAGCCCCAGGCCCCTGTACCACCCTTGCTATTGTCCTATCCTCCTGCTCTAAAGTCAAGTCTATGTGAGAGCTCAATCTCTAACACCCTCAGAATAATACCTAAACTTCTCGTCTTACATTAAACTGACATTCCAGACACTGCAGAATTTGGTCCCAAAACAATGTAATTCAACCATAAACAGCTCTGGTTAACAATTATTTATACAGAACTGCTTCTAAGGCACTATCTTGCACTTTTTGATTTGTTAACTAATTCTGGGAAGGGCTAGCAGAACTAAGGCTCTCAAGGAATTTATGGTTTGTACAGAGTCATACAGCAATACAAGAAAACAACAGGCAACTTTAACTCCTGTACCTTAAGTGTTTACAAAGTATTGAGTAACATTAACCTTTGGCATTTGCAGTACTATGTCCAGTTACATGTGTAAAATATGCAAGTTCTCACACAGCCTCAGCAGTGTTTGGTCAAGGTTACATAACTAGCTGCATGATGGGGAGGAATCAACTCAACTCAACTATTATGTTAAACTACTGTCTTACAGTCTACACCACTACTATAAATGCATTTCCAGTTTGGCCTTATCCCCAGGGATATGAATTCTTCCTTTTCTATGGAATTTACCTAAGGGATTAAGAAAGATAATTAAGTACTAGTACAGGACACATAGCAAGGACTATCCCCTCCTCGCCTCTCTCCCCAGCAACAGAGTAAACAAACTAGGTGTTGCCATTTCAATGTGACACCAAATCCTATAGACATGTTCCCAGTTTAATATATTTCCATGCCTCCAGCCCCTGGCCAAGAATAAGTGAGTGCTTTGGTCATGCAGCACCCTTACTGATTTTCTGTATCTATCCCAGATAAGGGGTGGGGAGTCGGGGGGAGACACGCAGTCCCTCAAAGCTAGGAAGTTGTGGTCCAGTACTGACAGCTAGGCAGTGGATGTCATTATTTGTGTCAGAAAAAAAAAACCTCACATCAAATGTTGCCAACACAGAATTGAGTCAGAACTGAGCTATGTAGACTCCTGCCTGAGAAACGACAGCGTGGACTCGGTAAAGCCATGCCAGTTTCCCAGGGAACCTGAGCTGCGACTGAGTCTTTACCAATCTGTTTTAGCCTTTTACTCTTCCAACCATATACGTAAGATTTATTAAAATACCCAATCAGAGAACTACCCCCATTTCCTTCAAAAATTGTAACTGAAGTTTATTTTAGTGTGTATATCGTCTCATGTGAGTCCATTCATACACACCAGAGTGTGAGAGTGCAGAGAAGTCCATTCTCTCTTCCCACCCAGAGTGTAGGTCCCACAGGTCACACACCCTTGGGTTCTCAGGCTTGGAGGGAGGTGCCTTCATCCACCGGGGCTTCCAGCAAACAGAGAAGCCCATTTTTTTAATCCTCTAGAAAATTACCAAATAAAAGCTTATACCCTCTAAGTCCTTCAAGCATCATGTTACTGAAACAAGGAGACACACCTCCTGACATGCAGTTCCTCTCGCTAAAGAAGCATGCATAAACTTAAGTTTGTTTGCTATATACATGTCTGATTGATGAACAACATAAAGACTGTGCATAATCAGGGCTGGGAGGAGAGCTCAGTGAGGACCCGAGCTCCATCCTATAACCCAGGCTTACAAAAGAACAAGCAGGGCACGGAGCATGCTCTTCTAATTCCAGTACTGGTGAGATAGGCAGGTCCCTGAGGCTTAATGACCAACCTGCCCAGCCCGCTAGGCAAGTCCCATGCCAGGGAGACACAGGACTTAAAACAAACAAAACACAGCATCTGAGGAACCAACACTAAAGGCTGCATGCTCCTACATACAAACCAACAAGCATGTAGAAAGAACAGCACAAAACTCAACTGAACAAGCATACCTTTACTTGCCCAGATCTCTTCTTTGATAAAAACCATCATGTTGCTTTTAGATATCTGAATATATGTTATTCACTGTCTATTACAACAGATATTCTAGAAGCCCACTTATTACAACTATTGAGATCTCAGGACAGGTGTTCAGACTAGAAATTTAGATATGAGAATATAAGATATGCAGGTGGTAACTAATGGCCCAAGTAGATCACAATATCCAAAGAGATGCAGGAGAGTGAGTAGAGAAGTCAAGGTACAAACTCAAGGCAAGGAAAAAAAAAATCCTTAAAACAAGAAATGATACAAGCAGAGGGCAGGCTGGTGCCTCTAGAAAATAACTTTTCAAAGTCAACCAGAACTGAAAAGCAGACTAGTAACAAAGACAAGTAAGGGCCTCAGAGAGGTTCTCAATGGCATGCTAGCATTGATTATTCTCTAAACTGTCCCAAGCTGTCTGTCTCTTCTCTCCATATAAATATAATGGATACCATGTATGTAAAGAAAGGTCAAATATAGCTTTCTAATACCTATTGAAAAACACCCACACCAACACAGGACCTAAGCTGATAGGTGGAGGATGGTCATCTGCAAAGACTACCAAAGAAAACTTCAAATACATTAAGAAGAACTTACCCAGGTTAGAAGTTTATAAAACTTGGTTTTTAAAGGAAAGCACCCCATTCCTGTGTATCAACACAAAAGCAAGTGGCTCTGGGAGAAGCCAGCAGTCCAACAGCTAAACTCTTCACACACTGCAGCTCTTTACTACAGTCTCACATCCCAGAGGTGCTTCCCAGGCAACATTACCTAAAATTTCAACACTGCCTACTCACCCCAAAAGTCCTGTCTTTCCTCTGTCCTTGTCAATGTCACTACCCAATGTATAATTTTTATTATTTACTTAATTTTTAGCTTATCTTTTAAAATGTCATACCTAAATTTACAAAGAACTGTCTTCTCAAATAACCCACTTCTTTTTTAAAGGCAACACATTCTCAGATTCAAGTAAATAAGCCAACATGCTTGCTAACGGAGCCTCTAATAAAAGAATGCATTACTTCTGGGTTGTCAAGCACGTGTGCAGCAAGTTTGCTGTTCATATCACCACTTCGTAAAGAGAACCACAGGGTACCAGTCTATTAACTTGAATAAACTGATTTTCACAAAAAAAAAAAAAGATTAAAAGAGTGATATATAATAATAAGAAACCAGAATTCTAGCTAGCATCATCCAGATTTTCTAAGTGTTACTTTTAAAATGGCCATTTTGTAGTCTGAAAAGAGTAGTTTTTAGATTACTGTCAAAAACTATGAAGGCTTTGAAAGTTGATCCAACCTAGCAAGCTAACAAGCATAGTTTCATGAATGCTGCCTTTGAAGCCCACAAAGCCAGGGACATTGTTTCTCTTTGGAGTCAAACTGCCTAATATAATAATAATAATAATAAATAATAATAATAATAATACACCTCTATGTTTATGTTTATTTAATATCCAATATTATATAGATGACACCATCTTCCAGAACAAAAGATGAACATGCTTATGCTCATTATGGATTCTTTTGAATAATAATACACCTCTATGTCTATGTTTATTTAATATCCAATATTGTATAGATAATACCATTGTCCAGAACAAAAGATGAACATGCTTATGCCCATTATGGATTCTTTTGACGTTTAAGGATTTTGATTGTTTGAGATAGGGTCTCATACAATGCAGGCTGCCCTCTAACTCAGTATGTAAGCTGGTTCTGAACTCCTGGTCATTCTGCCTCCACTTCTCAAGAGCTGAGATACAGGTGAGCAGCATCATGTCTGGCTTTAGGGTGTCTTTCTTGTTAACTGTATTGTGTACAGTTACCACCTAGCCCTCTTGTATCACTGAATGGAAACCGGAGTTTATGACCTGGCTCAAGTACAGATGCTAGCTAATGCTATTTCCGTGAATAATAATAGTTATTTAAGTCAGTTCCTTGAGCCCCCGTTCCTAATTAGTTATAAGAGGAGCAGGAGGTTAGCATACATGCAGTTGGTTTATTACAGAAAAAGAAAGCCCAAGCTCTTTTATAAAGAGCATAAGCATGTCAACCTCCTGTTTTGGGGAGTTACTAAATACCTGAGTAGTCAATTAGCATGTTCTAGGAAGATAGTCTTTTTATTATAATAAGTAAGCAAACCTACTTTTTACTCTAGAAACACTAAGGCTGCTTGCTATATAAACATTCTTGGGGGAAAAAAAAAAAAAACTTTTAAAAGGCCAGTCAATACCTCTACTT